GCTTTTCCTTGTCAAATAGCATAAAAAACTAAAAGTCACGCAATACAACATCTCACATTTATGATATGGTTGGCTGACAAAAAATACAAATTGTTCTGTAGTTATCGATTAAATTTATTTATTTTTTTGAGAAATTTTTTTAAAATATCACTTTTCAAAAATGTCACATTTTTAAAATTTTTTTAAAAATATCATTTTTACAAGAAAAAAAATTATTATATCATTTCTGTTTGGGTTAACTATGTTGTACTAGTATTTAGTTTTGAGGGTTTAAGGGGTTTTAGAGTCCAAACATTTTTTAGAATTTATAATTTTAAGATTTATGTTTTAAAAATCTATAATTATTAGCATTTTTGCAAATGAACACCCCTAAATGACATTTGCAAATTTTTGCAATTGCCCTTATTTTTTCATATTTCCTTGAGAATAGTTGTTGAAATTAATTAAGAGAGGAAGCAACATTAAGTTGTAAGTTGTATATTAAAAAGTTCTGCGAATATATACCTCGGCTAAGTAGATCAAAACGTAATGCCAGAGACTTGAACATTTTTCTAATCAGAATTAAGGGTTTAAGTCTTCTAGAACAAATATATTATTATTACTATTATGTAATACTTTAGTCGTCTTTAGTTGAAATTAGTTTATGCTTAAAATAGTTAATTAAGGGATAGACGCCAAAAAAAAAATTAAGGGATAAAGAATGATGTAGACGCGAAGCCATCCACAAGGAGCAGGATGCTTTGAGGCAATAAATTGATGATACTGAACATGGATGAGAAATTGGGGCAGATACAGTTTGACATCAAGACAAAGTGTTATCCGTGATGTTTTTTGTACTATAATAACAACAACTATATAAACGTATTTTTAGGAAATTTCATTGTTCAAACATTTATTATGCAATAGAACCAATTTTTGGTAGAAGTCAGGAATTTCATTGTTCCAACATTTTATTATGCAATAGATCCGACTTTTGGTAGATGTCATTTTTTTTTTATCGTATAAATGTCATTTATTCATAGTCGACTCTGATTGGAAACCAAAGAAGTAAATACTTCGGGTTTTAGAAAAACCAAAGAAGTCTATAAAAATATAAAAACATGATTATAGGTGGGTAATATAATGGGTTTTTAACAATTAAACCCATTTAATTAAATCAAAAATCAATGCTAAAATTCTAAATGTAGGATCAAGGTTCTAAATATAGGATCTATATTTACAGTAATTATACA